GATATCATACAATAGAAACTGACAAATGTATATTATAGTCAGACAACTTGTATGATCACAGCATCCTAAAGTAACACCAACTACTAGAGGGCCCCATTTCCCTGTTTCTCTTCATAAAAAGTGACGATTTATGCAATACAATCATCAACCAGGCCACTAAAGACCCTTAAATTAGATTAGCAACAGTGCATTTGTTCATCAGTGGGATCTTTATGTAACGTTATGCAGCAGTTCCCCTTCAGCTCCGACACACAAGACAGTTCTTCAAGCCAGATGTGGCGTTAAGTAAATCTCTGTGGCTTAAAAACCTTATTCAGATGAAAGGGCAGTTCTCCTCAGAGCTCTACAGCTGACGGGCCGGTTTCTGTCTGAACCTCTCTGTCACAGCAGAAACTCATTGATTTCCTCATCAGCTGACTGTTGGCCGTGAGCAGCTTAGGAAATGGACATGATTGATATTTAGTGACGACTTCAGAGAAGAAGATTAGATCCCAGATGAAATCAGTGTTCACAGAACTAATCAGCAGCAGGCCTCACAGATACTACTCACACACACACACACACACACACACACACACGATCTGCATTGTATCCATGCAGACAGACCAATACAAAACCAACTTTACAAATAGAAACTCAAGTAGATCCCAAAATTATATCATCTGTAGCCATGGCAACCTGGACATCAAACAGTCACGCTTGATGAAAAACTCCCTTTTGTAAGAGCAGCAGTTCAGTGTGTACCATATGGCAAAACATGCAAATAACAAACCCCCTGTAGACCTACAATCACCTTTCTTTATTGCCATACAGTGCTGTATACACTGCTTAAAGTACTGCATGTGTAATGTTAAAATGAACACAAAGGGAGCTGCAGTGATATTCCTAAAGGTTTGTGTTTTTCTAACAAATATATTTAAAACTATACAACCTGTTGGTATCACAACCAGGATTTCTTTTTCATTTTTCATGCTTTGGAAATACAAATATCATTGTAATGCACAAATAAAGCACATTGAGATCTTACATTTAAATGTAAATTGAGCACAGTGAGGGGGAAAAGGTCCAGCACTGAAACACCCACACATAAACTCATCCACTCGACTACGAATGCCTATTTTATAATGCTCTCCTCAACAAATACTTTAAAGGCACCATGATGGTTATGTATGAAGACTACAGCCGTGCTTGTGAGGTTGAGAAGCTAATTACTGCACTTAGCACACAGTAAAGGTGAGGCTGATGGGAACATGTTGCAGGTATTTAGTCATAAACCAGAGTAATGATGTTTAAATTTTGACCTGACCACCAGAATCATGACTCTTCATCATGGTTGTCCTGAAGTTCAAGGCAACCATCCAGATGACAAGACATTGTGCTAAAAAAAAACACAAATGTCAACCACATGGTGGCACTAGAGGAGGAGTCAGAGATCCTCAAATATTGACACAAAAATGACTTTAAGCCAATCCAACAGTAGACGAGATGCTTCAGCTTTAACCACAGCAGCCAACAGAATTTGACCGATATATCAATGTCATTGGTCGGTACTGGTCAATCATGTATACATCAGTATGCTGTCCAATATAAAACCTTCTTTATGTATATAACATGATACAGGAGTAGGTGCTTGGAGTAATTTAAAATCTGTCAACACACAGTTTGTCCAGCAGAGCAGCTCTGACTCCATTGCTAACAATCCTTGTAGTCTGTCTGCAGCGCATGTAGCAGAGTACGTATCACAACTGAGCAGATGGTGGTGCAGAGCCAAGCGGTGTCCTCACTGTAAATCATTAACTCATTTGTCTCATTGCACCCCATGTAGTAGCAAAAAAATTACCTTCTTTCTGTGAAAACCAAAACCATTTTTATTTTAATGCTATAAAATGATATGCAAAGATCTTAACGTGTAGAGGTGACGTGCAAAATGTACCCAAAGACACGTGCTATGCATACAGAGTCCCACGATCTCACATTATAACAAATTGACTATATAATAACTATAACAAAATGACTCCATCACTTACTCTCTTTAATACAACTCTGTCTTTCCCCAAACAAAACAAACAAAACAAAAAAAAAAAAACATGGGCCAATATATCTATTTTGCTCCCTGTTAACTTTATAGGTCTAGTATCTAACATTTACTTCAGTATTAGTCATGCTCTAGTGGTCAATCCAAGGAAGGTATAAATTAAATATACTGTAATGTAGCATCCTATGGAGCATCTCCATGTATCTATACATACTGGACCCATCAAGTCATCATCTGTATGAAGCTGTGAAGCGGCACGTGCACGACCCCGATGAACGCTCTGCATATCTGCCACTGACGTCTCATCTGTTCTCTGTGTCTGACCTGGCCTGACTGCATCCTACAGATGTTCTGTTCTGCTGCAGCTGAACACAGTACCGCTCCAAACACACGCACACACACTGTCACTGTGAACCCCTGTCACATTCCTGACGCAGTCTGGGGGCTCTGGTGTTGTAAGGAAGCCACGTGGGGCCCAAAATCCAGCGTGGTGGTAGGTTGATTATGTAACTTAATTGCTTTGTAGTGAAGTTTTTGTTCTTTTGTTTTTTCTTGGCCTCATCCTGCGCCACTTACTCATGCCAAACATGCAGCACCACTGACATAACAGCAAGGCTCCTGGGCGACCGCTCTGATTGGCTAATGCACCACTTGTGAGGACATGGCAGTTCTTTTGAATATTAATGATGTTTTAAGAAACACAAACACATGTGACAGATTATGGCATGCCGTTTACTTAGCAGGTGCTGGAAAATGACACGGTTGTGTGGTAATGGCTGCATTATTATGCATCAGAACATGATCCATGAACCAACACGCCTGCCAGGTGTTGCTGTTTATTTTAATAAGTTTAAATCTAGAATCACTTTTCGCCACTTTGGCAAAGGCGCTCAATTCAGGATGACTGGAAAATAAATAAGATGTTGATTATCCCTGCATTTATCTTTGCTGAACTGGGCTACAGCGGGTTTATTTCAGTGCAGACGCAACAAATTCATGGACAAACAGGATTTTTTTTGTGATGCAAATCTGGACTTTTCTCCAGTTTGTGTCTCTCAGAAACTATTGTTACCTTTAAGCCACAGTGCTCAGATTCTCGAACAAATACATACTCAGCAGTTTGTGAAAATTTGCAACCCTTTGTCTGATTGCATTTACATTCCCAAATCCTTGTACTTCTTGTAAATAAATAAATAAATAAATAAATAAATAAAAGTTTATGCTTTGTGAAAATATCAACCACTGGAGTTAAATACAACAGCCTATACCACAGTAACTCATTCCAGCTTCTGTCAGGAAAAAGACTCAAAACTTGAAAACTGGTTTAACAGAAAACTTCTAAAATTTCCTGAAGATTGAAGACGTGTTCATTTTTCAGTAAAATCACTGCAAAGCACTGGGACTTGATTGCAAACTAGAGCTCATGCAAACCACTTGGATTAGAGACGAATATCAAATATGTAAAAACATTCTGAAAAGACATTTTGAAGTTTGATTTGTTTGTCTGCTTCTCATCACTGTCACACAAGTTTCTGAAGCCAGAAATGTTAATCTTGTCAATTCTCAGCACATAATATAGACAGAAATATAGACATCATGGAATCTGGTATGGAATTTAGAAAATCCCATGTTGTCAATGTTTTTACAAATTCCTGCCTTCCTCCTTGTCTGACAGTCACTTCTGATAGTGTCTCATGTGGCAGTCACATGTTTTAAATCTATGACACAGTGAAGCTGGGCTTTAAAATATTATATCACAAATTACATCACAAGTTCTGCCAGAAAACAAAAAGATATTCTCCCCAAATGTTTCAGTCCTACTCTGAGCCTCAGTCCAATCCAAAATCAAACAATCTGAGAGTTTCACGCAACAGATTTACTAACTCGCTGATTTGCAACTATATATTTAATCAACCGTCAAGTTAATGTTAATTTATATAAATTTAGTGAGTCATACAGACACATTACAGCTACAGTACCTTAATGCAACCACACTTCACTCAACATGTGATTCAGCCTCACAGACTGCAGCTATTCAGTGCCTTGGAAACTTAACATTTATTTTTAAAGTAAAAATCCTGAACAGATTGACTTCAGACTGACACAATCAGTTTGTCGTTAGTGCAATTTCACTAGTCTGAGGACATGTAGGGGGAAAAAACAAGACAGAACAACAAATCTCTCCTAATTTTTCACGTAAAAATAGGAATAAACAGAAGCCTAATCAGACTGTTCTCTCTCTCTCTCTCTCTCTCTCTCTCTCTCTTTGATCTGCTCCTCTGTGCTTCTTATCTCCATCTCATCAACATGTCGCGACATCTCCTCTCCACACACAGGGCTCAGCTGATGATCAGGACAAGCATTCATCAAAACAGAAGACACTGTGCCTTTTGATTGATTCTTTGTCTCTCTGTCTCTCTCACTCACACACACACACAGTGACACACACTATAATCCCATCAGGACACTGTGACCATCAGCAGCAACCAGGAGGAGCATCAGCACATCACTACCGGATATTTACTAGGTATTTACTGAAATTCAATACTGTCATTCACTAATATATTAAACAACCTAAGTTAGAGCATATTTTTGTAACTCACAATGTGTGTGTAATTTGTATGGCTTTCTTGTATACATTGGTATTTTTATCACCAGTTATATTATTATTAGTTTTATGGTACTTAGGAGGCATTTTTGCGGTTTTGTCTTAGAAAATGTAACGTTAACCACATTTGTGTGGTGAGAGAAGTGTATCTGTGTGACCTTATTCAGACTTGTCACTGTCTGACACATTAAACTGTTCCTGTTCTCCACTGAATCAGTCAAACCTGGTTTAAATGATCATGCTTTGTGCGTAATTTCCCTTCATAGCTTCTAATAGGCGACACTAGTCCTTCTGTCACATTGTTCAGAACTGTACAAGCTGCATTATAATACACTCTTTTTGTTTTCTTTTACTCACGCTGGTGGGGTGGATGAGCGGTAAGGGCAGCAGGGACAGCGGGATGAACACCACGAGGATCAGCTTCCTCGCCTTCCACAGCTTCCTGAACAGATCCATCCTGGCTGCGGCCTCCAGCCTCATGGGTGACCCGGAGCTCTGGGTCGAACCGGTCACAACTCAGCAGAACCGGGCGTAAGAGAGCAAAAACCGGTCGAGGAGAGAGCCTCAAACCACAGCAGAGCCGGAAGGAGGAGGAAGAGGGGGGGAAAAGAAGTCCTCCTGGAAGAGCCTAAAGGTCTGGTTTGGCTGTGCGCTTTTACGCACAGACCGCAGACGGTGAGCGGACCTGTGAGCGGACCAGTGAGGTGAGAGAACTTGCCTGAACTTACTTTTTCTAGTCTGTCTGAGTTTTACCTCCACTGTGACTGACTGTTGTGACAGCACCACGGCAGGAGACCCCCCTCTTCCTCTGTGTGTTAGATGCTCCTCAGAGCGTCAGGTGAGGCTGCGGCCGCATTTATGGGGCTGGATAGGTATGCTAATTAACCACGACTTTGCCCCACCCTCGCTGACCGTGACTCCACCAATCAGGGAGGGAGTAAAGTTTACACAAGGGCGTGTGCGTGTGCGTGCTCCTTGCAGCAAAAACCTTCTCTATGAAGAAACGTTGCAGGAACAAGAGGGAAATACTGCGAGATTTGATCTGTTGTTGTTAGAAAATAAGGGATGCCAGATAAAAACCTGGATCCTGCAGGACATAAATGATAAAAGTTCTACAAATAAAAAAAATATTCTTTAATATTTGAATATTATATTGTGTGAATAACACAATGTTGATAACGTTGATAATGAAGTGTCTGGTTGTGTCTAGCCTTTAGCTTCCAAACGGTTTTGAATAAAAAGAATATAAAATAATATTTCATTTATGTAGTTTTGTATAATTGTATAACCCTAAACAACAGGAATACATAACACATCCCCAACAAGTGCACAGATCTGTAGTGAAGCCAGAGTCCAGTGGAGGAACAGTGATGGGAGGCTGCAGTCACACACTGCCCTCTACAGGACTCACTGAGTCAATGCAAGCAGCTACATTTTCCAGATAGGTTTCCTCTACAAGGCCACATCAATGTGAAAATGCCATTTAAACTGTTTTTATGAGGAAAACAATGTATTCTAATGTCTTCCCTGAAAATGTTTTAGCAAAGTTAGATATAACCATGAATCATCATCATCTCTTTAATGACATTATCCACCTGAGCATCATCACAGCACAGCCACAGTGGACATGAGTGTCTATCTGTTTTAATTTAGAAATGTACTCCTTTTAATTAATCTAAGAATATATTTATTGATCTCCTTCAGTGAACATCAAGTTTCTACCTTGTTTACATCTCCACATCCTGTTATTTATATG